TCTGCTATGAACTCCATCATCGGTACACATGGGGGTATTTCTGGAGGACAAATTCCTAGCTTTGTTCCCAGGGTACAAGCACAGTGGGGCACCACACGGAACCCAAGCTGTAGGGAAGGACAAGCTTTCTGTTCCTCGGGCTGCCTCTTTTCTGTGGGCCACAGCTGTGCAGCTGCATATCCCCACAGTGTCCCTACCTGTCTCTTCTGCTGACAAGGGCAAACCTGCCAGGAATGAGCCCTCTTGAGTCTGTGCAGCTCACCTGGACTTCTACCGCCCAGGACACCACGGTGAGGGGCGCTCTGCCCCCGCCTCTCTTCCAAGCACTAGAATGTGAAAACACTGACATGAGAAGCTTCCGGCGAGTATACAGCTGTGATTCTGGGGACAGTTCAGATGAGTTATCATTTACTGACAGACCCTAACGAGGCCAACAAAGGCAAGAGTCCTGGTACAAACAAACCAGTGTCTGGGGCAGTAGGACACAGGAGCCTGTATCGAATGAATTCTAATCAAACACCCTGCCCCGACGGCAGCGGCAGCAGCCCCGGGCCATGAACCCCAGGGAGTATTCAAGCCACAAACCTAAACAAACCAGAGCGGCCTGGATATGAAGTGTCCTTGCTGTATGGCGTAGGGGCTGACACAGAGCAGTGGCGTCCATGACATGGACCCGTGAGCAGAGGCCCCCACCACCTCCCTGCTCCCCAGCGGGCTCCTCACTTCCTGTCCCAGTCCTCCAAGACCCACTTCTCAGAAGACTGGGCTCAGCTGGATCTCCCTGCTGCCTGGGAGGAAACAAGTTCCCAGAGGAGCCTGAATTCCCACCCTGACCCGCTGCCCTCTGCGTGTTGCCCCCGGGGGAGCCGCGGCGGGAGTCGCCACGCCCCCTCCCTCTCTCCTGCTCGGCGGAGCGCAGCATCTGCTCTGTTCCTTGTCAACACTTACGTAAACCTCCCCCTTCCTCCCGACTCTGGGCCTCACGGCCTTGCTCGCAGACCCCTATGGTCGCTCCCGGTTTGGCAGGTGGCCACCACGTTCAGTGCCAGAGGTGGCTGGCCCTCCTCTGCCTGGGTGTGGGGAGAATCCTGGGCTTGGAGCTCCCAGAGTGGGGAGACGGTTCTGTCCACACCTGATAAGACTGACGCCGAGGTGAGGTCAGAGCCCGGAGAGGAGCCGGCTGGCCCGGGGCAGATAACCTGAGGATACTCGGGGTCCTCGGTGACTCTTGGGAAGGAAAATACCTGCTCGAGCAAAAAAGCAGACTCCGGGGAACAGGGAGAAAGGAACAGGGAGTGGAAAGAAAGCCGGTGAGGGGGACCTGTGGTGCAGCCTTAGGGGTCTCCTAGGGGCCTCCATCGGCCCACACTCATGGTCTTTATCTCCAAAGCTGGAGACACTCCGGAGAATTTTATCTCACTTCCTGTATCTCGGATGCTTGAGCTGCAGGAGAGTTGCACATTGCCATGGGTTTTATTTACTCCCTGCCTGGGTCCCTCATGCCTGGAGAGGGTGGGCAAGGTTTCTCTTCATCTTCCTGCTTAAAACATGGATCTTTAATAAATACTTGTTAGTTCACGGCTTAAAAAACCATGACTCTGGGGCTTCCCTGGTGGCGCAGTGGTTGAGAGTCTGCCTGCCGATGCAGGGGACACGGGTTCCTGCCCCGGTCCGGGAGGGTCCCACGTGCCGCGGAGCGGCTGGGCCCGTGGGCCGTGGCTGCTGGGCCTGCGTGTCCGGAGCCTGTTCTCCGCTGCGGGGGAGGCCACAGCAGTGAGAGGCCCACGTACCACCCCCCCCCCCAAAAAAAATCATGACTCTGCTTCTTGGGTGGAGTCTAGTTTGGACAATACTAAATGGCTACTATTGATTGAGCAACAGCGGGCTGACGTTACCGCATTGAAACCCTCTGCAGGGTAGGTATGGCCTCCATTTAGTGGGGGAGAAAGTGAAGCCACAGAGAGGCTGAAAGGCTTGCCCAAGCTCACACAACTTGCAAAAGGTTGGGCTGGGGTTTGAATCCCAGTCTGCAGGGCTCCAAAATTCAGGCTCCTTTCCCTCAGCACCTGAATGCTGCTCTGAGGTTGAGGAGAAAAAACACTCAAGCTGGGAGCAAAACTGCCTTCCTCTCCTGCTTGTTGCTGTTGGTTTTGGGCCCATGATCAGCCCTTGCACCATGGCCATCTCTGGGCACCACGTGGAGGGCAGGCATCAGCAGATCACTGTGAATAAGCAGAGAGCAGGGCCCAGTTGACATTTGGCTTTGCACATAGCAGTGGGAGAGTAAATGAGGGTAGACCTCTTTCCCACTCCCCTGGCATGAACTGGGGCTTGTTCTGGGCTACTGAGAGGGAAGTGCACACGAATGTTGGCTGAGTATTTCTAAGGTTACTGAAATGGAGCTAAAATGATCATAAAAATAATAAACTGTCAGATTCTTTCCCTTTATTCTAATCCCAAGTCTCTTACAAACTCTGTGCCTGTGGGCAATTTGGGGAAGTTGTGTAACCTCCCCGAGGCTCATCTCTCCACTTTTATTTTTTGTTAATTTTTTATTTACTTATTTATTTAATTTATTTATTTTAAAAATTTACTTATTCAGCTGTGTCGGGTCTTAGTTGTGGCACTTGGGATCTTCGTTGTGGCATGTGGGATCTTTGTTGTGGCGTGCAGGCTCTAGAGTGCACGGGCTCAGTAGTTGTGACGTGCGGGCTTAGCTGCCCCATAGCACGTGGGATCTTAGTTCCTCAAGCAGGATTGGAACCCATGTCCCCTGAATTGGAAGGTGGATTCTTTTTTTTTTTTTTTGGCTGCATTGGGTCTTCGTTGCTGTACGCGGGCTTTCTCTAGTTGCGGCAAGTGGGGGCTACTCCTTGTTGTGGAGCACAGGCTCTAGGCACACGGGCTTCAGTAGTTGTTGCACATGGGCTCAGTAGTTGTGGCTCGCGGGCTCTAGAGCACAGGCTCAGTAGTTGTGGTGCACGGGCTTAGTTGCTCTGCAGCATGTGGGATATTCCTGGACCAGGGATCAAACCCATGGTGTCCCCTGCATTGGCAGGTGGATTTTTAACCACTACGCCACCAGGGAAGTCCCAGAAGGTGGATTCTTAACCACTGGACCACCAGGGAAGTCCCTCTCCGCTTTTAAAACAGGATCATAACTGTAATGTGCTGTAAAACCCAACACCTTGCACAGTGTTTGGCACATAGAACAGCCTCAATTAATGTTTGATGTTTGTGTGAATGCAATACAGGGACTGTCTGACTTAGTTTGCTTTTCCTGTAGCACATAGCATGCTCTGGACTTGTGCATGATTAATGAACATTTGTGACTTTGAGGTTGTCTTTATAGTTAAGAATGAGGACAAGCCCCATTAAAACAACAACAACCCCCCCCCAAACAAACAAACAAACAAACAAAAAATCAGCTCCACTTAAACACAGAGAAACTCCTGTTAAGAGAGCCCGTGATTTGCTGCAGAACCCATGGGGCGTTGCGGTATTGGAATTAATAATAAAGGTTTGTTAATTTTCTGCCTTTGCTCCGGCTGCCTTCCAAGATGTAATGTGGAATCCTGCTGTTTCTGCTCCAGATAAATCATTGATAATCTTCAACCCAGTGAGGGGCAAGTCATGGGGACGTACTCCTGTGTCCACGGCGCTGATGAAATCAGATTTCTTGGAACCCATTTACCAGCAGCTTTGAATTGGCCAGATTGCTTGCTGAGCCTAAAATATTGCACACACGTGGCGACCTTGACTTGGCTGTTTCCATGAATCCTCTTTTCCCTTAAGCCATGGTTGATGTTTCCAAGTCAGATGGCAGGGATCGGGCTTCATCTTTATCTTTGCACTAATAATTATTGTCCAGATCTGGCCCACTCTCTGTGCACACTCACTTCCTGGCATTGATTCTGCTCTGATGGGAGCAGAGGGGCTGGGGAGGGGAGAGGAAGGCGGCTATAGGTGACTTTGAGGGCTGACGCCTCCTCTTCTCTTCTTGGTTCCTCTGCTGGGGCTACTTTTGGGTAGCAGAACATTTTTTCCCCCACCTTCTGTCCACTCATCCATCTGTGCTTTCCTTTGTTTATCCATCCATTTATTTAAAACACACGAACTGAGACCCTGCTGAATGGAAGCATTGTGGTGGCTGTGAGGGCACCCAGAGAGGAGGGGAGATTTGGACTTGGCTTTAGAAGAGCTGAATGCAGGCAGAGAAAAGAGACATGAATCTAAACAGGGCCAACACCCCCAAATGCCAACAGTGGTTACCTCCAGGTAGCACATTTGAGCGGTTTTTAATCTCTCCTTTGTGAGTGTCTGTGTTTCTAATTTTTCCTTCAGTAAGCACATATTAGTATTTGTTTAACAAAAGTTATTCAAAACGTGAGTACATGGTAAACAGGTGCTAAGTGTACAGGGAGACGCAGATGAAAACGCTGGGTAAGTAGAGAGGAGTAAAGTGGTATTTCCAGCCCAGGTGGCTTTGAAAAGGCTTTAGAAGAAGGTCATCGTTGAGCTGGGCCTTGAGGCTGGAGGGAGACCTTGCAGTGGTTGTCTATGTGGTGCCCTGCCCAGCACCTCTCCTCTCCTCTCCTCTGACTAGCTCCCCTCTCTGTGGCCTGCAAGGAGGTACCTCTTTCCCAGCTGACCTTGCCCTCATCCCCATGGTATCATGTGGCTCTTAAGAAAGGCCCTTGGGACTTCCCTGGTGGCGCAGTGGTTAAGAATCCGCCTGCCAATGCAGGGGACACGGGTTCGAGCCCTGGTCCGGGAAGATCCCACATGTGGCGGAGCAACTAAGCCTGTGAACCACAACTACTGAACCTGTGCTCTGGAGCCCGTGAGGCACAACTACTGAAGTCTGCGCGCCTACAGCCCGCGTTCCGCAACAAGAGAAGCCAGTGCGATGAAAAGCCTGCTCACTGCAGCAAAGACCCAACACAGCCATAAATAAATAAATAAATAAATTTATTTATTTTAAAAAAATGAAATGCCCTTATCTGAAAGCTTGGGAGGGCCCATCCTGGGGGCAAGCGGGAAAGCTAGAGACACAGATTTCAAAGGTGAGGGTTAGAGGCCATGCCCTCTGCCCTCTCGTTCTATAGATTCCCTGAGTAAACCAAGGACAGGCAGCTAGATCCTAGGCCTCGCACAATTCCAGCTATGTGACATACTGGCAGCCGCACTCTCAAATCATTTTGATCCCTCAACCTCTGCCCCCCAACCCACCCCCGCTTCAACATCTTGTCTGCTCGAGAACAGTGTTCAGAGAATATCGGCTGCCACCCAGCTCAGGCATTTCTCCTCGGGGAGGGGGTCCCTGACCCCAAAACCACGCTCAGCCCGGATCGACTGGCCTGACTGTGACTCTCTGGCTGAGACAGGGGCTGTCTAGATGCATGGGTGGAGGCAGCAAGGTCACGTGGCTTGTTTCTCTTTCATCTCACTCAGTTACTTTAGCAACAGGAGACAGCAGGAGGCCAAGCACCGCCCACCATGGCCTCATCCATCAGTCCCTGGAGAGGCGCAGGGGGCGGAGGCAGCTCTCGGAAGTCAGGAGGCAAGGGTCCTGCCCAGGCTCTCCTGGTCCCTGGCTGGCTGCACAACTTACCTCCTCCCTGGGCCTGTTCTAGACAGAATGGGCGCCAAGTGCTCTCTGGACGCAGCTCAAGGAGGTGTAGGGGAGCACGAGCACAGTCCTCTGGGGAGAAGACCGTACTGCTTCTGCTCTCGGTGGCTTTGGCAACTATTCGTCAGCCAGTCTTCTGCGACTTAACTTGTCCCTTGCCACCTGTGATGCAGGAATGTTTGCTGACCAGACAGGCGATTGAACTCCAAGGAGGCCAGCACTTGGCAGTGCCTGGCCTACCAGGATGGATATTTCTTTAGCTGGGGAAGGAGGTAAACCTGGCTTTGGTTCCTAAGCATGAACTTGTAGAAGAAAAGAGATTGAGAAAAAAGATAATCACGAGCAGCTCAAGTCTACAAATATCTGTAACAAAGAAATATGTATATAAAAGTAATACCTTCGGAACGGTCTTTGAAATTCTCAGAAAATTGTTACATCCATCCTCGCGTCATGTTCTCATAACCATGCAGAGAGGCAGGCAGAGGAGCCTGGATGACCTCCATGCTGCTGCGGAGGACGCTGAGTTCCAGGGAGGCCAAAGGTCCCAGGGTTTCTTGGATAATGGCTGAGCCAGACCTGGACCTCTGCCTTCTGGCCTCAGGACCTTTTCCTTAGACATGACCCATGAGAGCTATTACAAAGCAGAAACATTCTCCAGCCTTCTTTGTGGTCATGATTCTCGGACTTAACACACATCAGACATCTTTCTGAAGAAGAAAGAAAACAAAGGTGCATTCACCCAACGAACAATTTTACTGCGCATCTCCTATGTGCCAAGCTCTGGGCTAGGCACCAAGGATTCAAAAATGAACAAGGTGTGGTCTCCACTTCGGAGAAGTTCCATCTATTAGGCACTTACTCTTGCTTAATTAAATCTCCCATTTTGGTGTTGGATGGAATCACCAATCATGAGCTCCTCAAAGTAAAACCTCCCACTCTGCAAGCATTTTTGTATCCCAACAGAACTCCAGCAGGCTGCAGCTATGATAAGAAAAGGTACGGATTCTCCTAAACTTCCTGGGAGGGTAACCAGTAACAGGCAGCAAAGATGAAAATACTTGGGGGCTTCCCTGGTGGCGCAGTGGTTGAGAGTCCGCCTGCCGATGCAGGGGACACGGGTTCGTCCCCGGTCCAGGAAGATCCCACATGCCGCGGAGCGGCGGGGCCCATGAGCCATGGCCGCTGATCCTGCGCGTCCGGAGCCTGTGCTCCGCAACGGGAGAGGCCACAGCAGTGAGAGGCCTGCATACCGCAAAAAAAAAAAAAAAAAAAAAAAAAAAAAGATGAAAAGACTTAAGCAGATGTTAAAGCCACTCCTGGCTCTGGGATGGCGCCTGGGCTGCAGGGAGGTGAGAGAGGCCCCCTGGCCTGGTCAGGAAGTGCTTCCAGGAAACCAGTGGGAAGCAGCCCCCTGGCCCAAGGCTCAGGGGCTGACAGGGCGTCGGAGAGGCAGCCTTGAGAACAGGTGCAAAGGGATGCCAAAGGAACCTGAAGTCCTTTCTCTGAACATGCACAGCCATTAAAGTCCTATTTCCACAGATGGGGACTTGGGGGCCACACCCCACCTACAGCAAATCACTTTCTGACTTGATGTGTAGAATCTAAAAGGCAGAGGGGGACTTCCCTGGCGGTCCAGTGGTTAAGACTCCGTGCTTTCACTGCAGGAGGTACAGGTTCGATCCCTGGTCGGGGAGACTAAGGATCCCGCATACCATGTGGCAGCTTTGACAATGGGGGGGGCCTGTCACTGCAGCCTAAGGAAAACTGTTTAGCATTTTACCTCTTTCCCTACACTGGGGCCAACGGTGCCTTGTCCTAGGAAGAGAAAAAGTGTTCGGCAGCTTTTAGACTCTCTTAAAGCAGCTTTTATCTGCTCAGTGACATGGCAGTGTGAGGACACATTTCCACCTGAAGAACCCAAACTTTCCAGGTCTAAATAGGGTTCCAATGATACACTCTTAACTGACAGGAAACAACCTCTACCTTAGATTTCTGCTTTCCTCTGCAGAATTTGTAGCCCAGCACACACTGTGGGTTAACCTCGGCAGCCCCAAAGACACAAGGGGAAGGGATTCGGAAAAACCCCATGGCTGAGTGAGCTGATGATACAAGCAGGGACATCAGCAGGCAAGTTAGGGCTCAGGGGTTTCAGTTGTAACGTATAGGGATGTAACCCGTAACACAGGAAGAGAAATTCCTTGCGTCGTTTTGTTTTGTTTTTCTTATTAAGACCACCTTTCCCATCTTTAAAACAGCAAAGAAATGCTATAAGACCTGGACCATTGGTGCAAGTGACAAGCGGAGTTGAGTTGTCCTCGTGGGATAATCATGCAAAATTAGACCTGGAAAGTGGAAGAGGCCTTAGAGATCATCTAACTGACTGATTATTTTTCTGTGAAGAATCTGAAGCCTCCATCATAAAAATAATAAGAGTGGGGACTTCCCTGGTGGTCCAGTGGTTAAGAATCCGTCTTGCAATGCGGGGGATGCCAGTTCAGTCCCTGGTCAGGGAACTAAGATCCCACATGCCACGGGGCAACTAAGGCCGCATGCCACAAGTAGAGAGCCCATGTGCCCTGGAGCCCGCGTGCCACAACTAAGACCCAATGCAGCCAAAAATTAATAAATAAATAAATAAATAATAAAAATATAGTAAGCCTGGTTACCTACCATTTATTGGCCTCCCACTCGGAACCCAGTGCTTGTGTAAAGAACCTGTACAAGCTTGCTAGGGTGGCTGTAACAAGGTACCAGAAACTCGGGGGGTGGGGTGAGGCTTGAACAACAGCAATTTGTCTCACGGTTCTGGGGGCTACAAGTTTGAGATCAAGGTGTTGGCAGAATTGGTTCTTTCTGAGCGCTGACTGAGAGAGGCCGTTTCATGCCTCTCTCTCCTAGCTTCCGGTGCTTTGCCGGCAATCTCGGGCGTTCCTTGGCTTGTGGAAGCATCACCCTGACCTCTGCTTTCATATTCACCTGGCGTTCTCCCTGAGCACATGCCTGTCTGTGTCCAAATTTCTTTTTCTAAATAAGGACACAGGTCAGATTGAATTAGGGCCCACCCTAATGACCTCATCTTCATTTAACTAACTGTATCTGCAATGACCCTATTTCCATATAAGGTTATATTCAGAGGTACTGGGGTTAAAGCTTCAACAAATGAATTTGGTGGGGGAAGGGACACAATTCAACCCATAACAGAACTCTACTTACATTGTATCTGGTCCTCAGAGCAAGGCTGCAAGGTTGACATGATCCATATTCTACGGATGGGTCAGGCCCCGCTCGAGAAGTGGGCAGCACCGAGGGGCACAGCCAGGTGGCTGTGAAGAGCTTGGAGTCTGGAGCCAGGTTGCCCGGGTTGGTGGCCCAGCCTCACCTCCCGCGAGTTAACGAATGTGGGACACTGTTTCACCTCCCTGTGCCTCAGTGTCTTCATCTGAAGAAACAGGGAGAATATAATTTCAAAACCTTAAAAGTTCCAAATGCCAAAATTTATAACTCATTTGGCAGCAAAACCTGATCTGAAATAAACTCATTTGCTAGAGAAACCTGTCTTGAGTTACATGAGGCTACTTTATTTATGCACTATATACATCTCACTACAGAAATGAGTACGTTTGATTACAGGATGCTGTCACAGATGCTACAGGATATTATGCAGCCTACAGTACATGCAATGCATTTGCTTTCTCAAGTCCCCAAGTTCTGACACAGCAAACACTGCTGGCCTTGAATATTTTTTTTTGGATACATCTTTACTGGAGTATAATTGCTTCACAATGCTGTGTTAGTTTCTGTTGTACAGCAAGGTGAATCAGCCATATGCATACATATATCCCCATATCCCCTCCCTCTTGAGCCTCCCTCCCACCCCTCTAGGTCGTCACAAAGCACCAAGCTGATCTCCCTGTGCTATGCGGCTGCTTCCCACTGGCTATCTAGTTTGCATTTGGTGGTGTATATATGTCGATGTTACTCTCACTTCAACAAGCTTCCTCCTCCCCACCGTGCCCTCAATTCCATTCTCTCTCTATGTCTATGTCTTTATTCCTGCCCTGCCACTAGGTTCATCAGTACCACTTTTTTTTTTTTAGATTCCATATACGTGCGTTAGCATACATAAGATCATACTATATACATACATAGTATACAAAAATAACATACATATTTTTCTCTTTCTGACTCACTTCACTCTGTATGACAGACTCTAGGTCCATCCACCTCACTACAAATAACTCAGTTTCGTTTCTTTTTATGGCTGAGTAATATTCCACTGTATATATGTGCCACATCTTCTTTATCCATTCCTCTGTCAATGGACATTTAGGTTGCTTCCATGTCCTGGCTATTGTAAATAGTGCTACAATGAACACTGTGGTACATGTCTCTTTTTGAATTATGCTTTTCCCAGTAGTGGGATTTCTGGGTCATATGGTAGTTCTATTTTTAGTTTAGTTTTTTTTTTTCTTTTTTCTGCGGTACGCAGGCCTCTCACTGTTATGGCCTCTCTCGTTGTGGAGCACAGGCTCCGGACGCACAGGCTCAGCGGCCATGGCTCACGGGCCAAGCCGCTCTGCCGCATGTGGGATCTTCCCAGACTGGGGCATGAACCTGTGTCCCCTACATCGGCAGGTGGACTCTCAACCACTGCACCACCAGGGAAGCCCTATTTTTAGTTTTTTAAGGAACCTCCATACTGTTCTCCATAGTGGTTGTATCAATTTATATTCCTACCAACAGTGCAGGAGGGTTCCTTTTTCACCACACCCTTTCCAGCATTGTTTCTAGATTTTTTGATAATGGACATTCTGACTGGTGTGAGGTGATACCTCATGGTAGTTTTGATTTGCATTTCTCTAATAATTAGTGATGTTGAGCATCTTTTCATGTGCCTCTTGGCCATCTGTATGTCTTCTTTGGTGAAATGTTTATTTAGGTCGGCTGACCATTTTTGGATTGGGTTGTTTGTTTTTTTGATATTGAGCTCCATGAGCTGTTTGTATATTTTGGAGATTAATCCTTTGGCTGTTGCTTCATTTGCAAATATTTTTTTCCATTCTGAAGGTTGTCTTTTCATCTTGTTTATGGTTTCCTTTGCTGTGCAAAAGCTTTTAACTTTAATTAGGTCCCATTTGTTTATTTTTGTTTTTATTTTTGTTACTCTAGGAGGTGAGTCAAAAAAGATCTTGCAGTGGTTTATGTCATGGAGTGTTCTGCCTATATTTTCCTCTAAGAGTTTTATAGTATCTTGTCTTACATTTAGGTCTTTAATCCATTTGGAGTTTATTTTTGTGTATGGTGTTAGGTAGTGTTCTAATTTCATTCTTTTACATGTAGCTGTCCAGTTTTCCCAGCACCACCTATTGAAGAGGTTGTCTTTTCTCCACTGTTTGTTCTTTCCTCCTTTGTTGTAAATTAGGTGACCATATGTGCATGGGTTTATCTCTGGGTTTTCTATCCTGTACCATTGATCTATATGTCTGTTTTTGTGCCAGTACCACACTCTCTTGATTACTGTAGCTTTGTAGTATAGTTTGAAGCTGGGGCGCCTGATTCCTCCAGCACCGTTTTTCTTTCTCAAGATTGCTTTGGCTTGGGCTTCCCTGGTGATGCAGTGGATAAGAATCTGCCTACCAATGCAGGGGACATGGGTTCGAGCCCTGGTCTGGGAAGATCCCACATGCCATGGAGCAACTAAGCCTGTGTGCCACAACTACTGAGCCTGTGCTCTAGAGCCCACGAGCCACAACTACTGAGCCCGAGTGCCACAACTACTGAAGCCTGCATGCCTAGAGCCCGTGCTGCATAACAAGAAGCCACCACAATGAGAAGCCCACACACCACAATGAAGAGTAGCCCCCACTCGCCAACTAGAGAAAGCCTGCACGCAGCAACAAAGACCCAACGCAGCCAACAATAAATAAATAAATAAATAAATAAATTTATTAAAGAAAAAAAGATTGCTTTTGGCTATTTAGGGTCTTTTGTGTTTCCATACAAATCGTAAAAATTTTTTGTTCTAATTCTTTGAAGAATGCCATTGGTAGTTTGATAGGGATTGCACTGAATCTGTAGATTGCTTTGGGTAGTAGAGTCATTTGCACAATATTGATTCTTCTAATCCAAGAACATGGTATATCTCTCCATCTGTTTATGTCATCTTTGATTTCTGTCATCAGTGTTTTATAGTTTTCTGAGTACAGGTCTTTTGCCTCCTTAAGTAGGTTTATTCCTAGGTATTTTATTCTTTTTGTTGCAATCGTAAATGGGACTGTTTCCTTAATTTCTCTTTCTGATTTTTCCTTGTTAGTGTATAGGAACGCAAGAAATTTCTGTGCATTAATTTTGTATCCTGCGACCTTACCGAATTCATTGATTAGTTCTAGTAGTTTTCTGGTGGCATCTTTAGGATTTTCTATGTATAATATCATGTCATCTGCAAACAGTGACAGTTTTACTTCTTCTTTTCCAATTTGGATTCCTTTTATTTCTTTTTCTTTCTCTGCTTGCCGTGGCTAGGACTTCCAAAACTATGTTGAATAAAAGTGGCAAGAGTGGACATCCTTGTCTTGTTCCTGATCTTAGTGGAAATGTTTTCAGTTTTTCACCATTGAGTATGATGTTTGCTGTGGGTTTGTCATATAAGGCCTTTATTATGTTGAGGTAGCTTCCCACTATGCCCACTTTCTGGAGAGTTTTTATCATAACGGGTGTTGAATTTTGTGAAAAGCTTTTTCTGCATCTATTGAGATGATCATATGTTTTTTATTCCTAAATTTGTTAATATGGTGTATCACACTGACTGACTTGCATATATTGAAGAATCCTTGCATCCCTGGGATAAATCCCACTTGATCATGGTGTATGATCCTTTTAATGTGCTGTTGGATTCTGTTTGCTAGTATTTTTTCAGGATTTTTGCACCTATGTTCATCAGTGATATTGGTCTATGATTTTCTTTTTTTGGTGATATCTTTGTCTGGTTTTGGTATCAGGGTGATGGTGGCTTCATAGAATGAGTTTGGGAGTTTTCCTTCCTCTGCAATTTTTTGGAAGAGTTTGAGAAGGATGGGTGTTAGCTCTTGTCTAAATGTTTGATAGAATTCACCTGTGAAGCCATATGGTCCTGGATCTTTGTTTGTTGGAAGATTTTTAATTACAATTTCAATTTCATTACTTGTGATAGGTCTGTTTATATTTTCTAATTCTTCCTGGCTCAGTCTTGGAAAACTGTACCTTTCCAAGAATTTGTCTATTTCTTCATGGTTGTCCATTTTATTGGCATATAGTTGTTTGTAGTAGTCTCTTATAATCCTTTGTATTTCTACGATGTCAGTTGTCATTTCTCCTTTTTCATTTCTCATTTTATTGATTTGCATCCTCTCCCTTTTTTTCTTGATGAGTCTGGCTAAGGCTTTATCAGTTTTGTTTATCTTCTCAAAGAACCAACTTTTAGTTTTATTGATCTTTGCTATTGTTTTCTTCATTTCTATTTCATTTATTTCTGCTCTGTTCTTTATGATTTCTTTCCTTCTACTGACTTTGGGTTTTCTTTGTTCTTCTTCCTACTGGTCCTGTTCACTGAAGAAATCAAAGAGGAAATAAAAAATACATAGAAACAAATGACAATGAAAACACGATGGCCCAAAACCTATGGGATGCAGCAAAAGCAGTTCTAAGAGGAAAGTTTATAGCAATTCAGTCTCACCTCAAGAAAAATCTCAAATAAACAACCTAACCCTACACCTAAAGCAACTAGAGAAAGAAGCCCTGAATATTTTGAATTAAGTTGATCGTGAACCTTCTGTCTGTGTGTCTGTCTGTCAATCTATCTATCACAGGATTGTAATGAGGATTAAATGAGTTAATATTTGCACAGTGCTTAGAACATTACCTGGCACATAGTAAGCACTATGTGCATATATTTTAAATAAAATAAAAAAATAATAATGACTGTCTTGTTTAAACCACTCAGGTGGTAACCAGGAGAGAAGGTTCTGGCCACTGAGTGCAGGCATGTCTGACACTGGAAGCTGTGCTTTCTGTGCAGCCTGAGCCACCTCTGACACACCAGGGCTGGGACTCATGTCCTTTGGTCCTTAAAACTAGCCTTGTTTATACAGTAAGCTGAAGCACTCCCTACCTTCTGAGAGGATTATTCAGTGAAACCAGGTCTCCTATTTGTATTAGTTTGGTAGGGTTGCCATAATAAAGTACCACAGACAGGGTGGCTTAAACAACAGAGATTTATTTTCCCACAGTTCTGGAGGCTGGAAGTCTGAGATCAAGGTGTCTGCAGGTTTTTTTTTTCTAAGGCCCCTCTCTAGCTCATAGATGGCTGCCTTCTCCCTGTGTCCTCACGTGGCCTTCCCTCTGTGCGTGCCTGTGTCCTAATCTCGTTTTCTTATAAGGATACCAGTCATATTGGATTAGGGCTCATTTAAAGACCTTATTTTAACTTAATTATCTCTTTAAAGTCTCTGTCTCCAAATACAGTCACATTCTGAGGTCCCAGGGGTTAGGACTTCAATAAATGAATTTGGGGGTGTGGATCACAATTCAGCCCCTGCCACTATTTTAAGACACTAGATGAATTTACCTCTCACACTAGCTGTACCCCATACACATGCTGGCTCATGCCTGCCCCAGTGTTTTTCGAAGTGTGGTCCAGGATCACCTAGAGTCCAATCACTTGGGCCCTTAATAAAAATAAGGTTGCCCCCCTAGCCTGTGAATCAGAATCTGGGGGAGGGGATTGCAGGCCCCAGGTATGGAGCTTGCTTGTTTTTTACATTTATATAAAGGCTTAGTTTAATTAAAGAGATTCAGGAAAAGCCAGGTAGCATGGTAGCTCCCACCACATCCCCACCTGCCCCTGCAGTCTCCTCCCCAACCTCTGACACCCCACCCCAAAAATGGGTGAAAGAGGAGCTGGAGAGAGAGGGGCAGCCCTATGGGAAGTTGGAGGGGAGAGCACAGTGCATCCTGATGGCTCCTATAGTGTGGGTCATCCTACAGGGCAACATAGAGCATACTTTCCCACTCAGAGCCTCGGGGTCCCCTTCAGCGCAGACAGGCAGAGCTTTGCAGTGTAGGTGCCAGCAGGGGAGGCCGTCCTCCCAGGCAGCGCCAGGGTGCAGCCTGACCTCGGGCTCCAGTCATTTCCCGTGCGCAGCACCCCTGCCCCTCTCCCCAGCTCCTGGACACCTGGAAGCTTTCCTCGTCCCTCAGATTAGCAGAAGACCTGAGCCTTGGATCGTATTTAAGGGACAGCGATGGGGCATTTTCCAGAGCCACATGCTGAAGCAGGGAGCGGAGAGTGAGGTAGTTCCTGCATCCGCGGACTCTGCTCCAAAACACCCAGTGATGTCGCGGGAGGTGGGGGCACGCTGGCTCCCTGCAAGCTGATGTCGGGCGCAGATTTACCATTCGCACGAGCACAGCCGATGAACCACGGCCCAACCAACGGGATCCTCTAGAGTGGGTGTCTGCTGCAGGTGTGTGTGCACACGCCCTGAGCCACACCCGTGTCTGGGTGGCCACTAGCAAAATAGCGGTGAGCCGGACCCTAACCAGAAAAGGTTTTCCCAGCACCATGACAACCATCAAAGCGAATGGCGATAATCCATCCTTCACCTTGCTTTGCTGGTTCTGGCTTAGATTCCTCATGTCTTAAAATACTTGCTTGGCTGGCAGTGACTCACCTGGACTGGCATTGAACAGAACGGGCAGGAGGTGCTTTCTTCTGAAGAACCGTCACAAACCTGCACAGCATCTGAGGTCTTTCATGTCACACATTGTTCCTGTCAAAGCGGAGACGTATTTCCTACTCTCTCGTCAAGGTTGGAGCTGCCAAAGAAAGTAAAGTGATTAGGATGTGTCAAGCTTTGGCACATGTCCTAAACAGCGTTTAAAGAAATCAGGTTTATCGGAGAATCTCTACCACATCCTCTACCCAGTGCAACAGGGGCCTCGTTTCTGATAGGACACTCTCAAAACTGAAAATTCATAGGTAGAATCGGTCACCTCCGTGTCGGGTCCTCTAGTGGCGTCTCAGGCAGTGTCAAGCTCTAATTGTTGGGATTTCATGAATTCTGAGTACTTCACTGATTTAAGAACTCTCTGGAAGCTGGTAATTTTGAAACTGCATTGTTTGCAAACTTGAATTAATAAAAAGGGTCAAGAGTTTTACTGTCCAGTAAACTGTATTTATTCATCCTCTCTTGATTCCACCTGAATTCCACAGGCTGTAAATTGTGGTTTATTGGAAGTCAGACCTGGATTCAAATCATAGGTTCGCCACTTATTAGCTGCGTGACTTTGGCCAAGTTACAGCACTTCTCTGAATGTTTCCTCGACTGCCAAAGTGGAATTGATACGATCTTCCACATTGCATAGTAGTGAATATTGAAAGAGATCACGAATGTCACAGTTGCCAGCACAGAGTCTGACCCATAGAGGCGCATTCCTTTTCACGTCTCTCCCTTTCCCCCTGCTATTTGAAATGAGCATCATTTCTGGCTTACTAATCTTCTAATATTGGCACATTTCAGTATGTGGTTTTGCTTTTAGAAGGTCATAAATAATCCTCCCGGAAAAATTAGAAATGATCAGTATACAGAGCCCAAGGCCAGCAGTCACTGAAGTGAGGAGAGGTGGTTTGTACGCTCAGACAGAAAGACAGGAGCAAAGACACTTGGCAGGAGTGAGCAGCCGCAGTTTCCTCTTGAAAGCTTCCTTAAGAATTCTCTGTGAAGTGTGATAAGTCGAGGACAGCTCCAGGGGCACAGGCAAGGTCCCCAGGAGCCCAGCCATCCCCACACGCGGCCTCCATCCTACACACCATCCCCCGCCGTCCACCCCTGGTCAGGTCCAGCTCCAGTCCCCGCTGACTTCTCCAGCTCTTCCCATCAGAACCTCAGGCTTTGTTATTTGCTGGGTTTTCCCCTCATTCCTTCATCTCTTTGGTCTCAGCTTCCCGCCAAAGAAAGGACGGGTTTGAGCCCTGCTACACCCCTTATTAGTTGGGTTATTATGGATAAATTACTTAGCCTCTTTGAAACTCAGTCTTCCCATCTGTAAATGGGGATCCTACCTCGTTAGGTTGTTATAAAGACCAATGTGAATAAAATGCATGTCAGAGTATTTTGTAAAGTGCTGAGAAAAAAAAGAATTCAAATTCCTCTTAGCATGTATACCTCACTGGCACATAGCAGGTGCTCAAAAATATACGTTAGGTTACGTTTTGATTACAAATCTTTGCCATGGGAATGCGGTGCAACACTCCAACGCACCAGGGGTCGTCCCAAACAGTCCTCCAAGGGGCCCAAGGGTTTCTAGGTGGTTTCTGCAGAGAATCTGACATTTGCTGTGCATTCGCCGTGTCCAGGCTCAGCCCTGGGGATGGCTTGTGCAATCTCCAAGGGATAGGTATAAACCAAGATTCCTTCACCACGTGTGTGGCAAATGAAGCCACACCAAGACTAATAATCCAGATATTAGTTTGTTACCACCATCTCTTACACAGAACTTAATCCCAGCAAAGCGCCTTCCCTCCTGTACACTCGGGGAGGCCCTGGGGGAAGATGTCTTACCCGTTCTCACCAACAAATCCATGGCTGGGTGCCAGGTCCCACCCCTTTCCCTGCTCTGCCTCTTCGTCCAGGCAAGACTGCACCATGGAGAAGATGCCTTTCTCCCTGTTATGCTCGTTTCTGGGGTCCCCATTACGGTGAGCTTGTACCTCTGCAAACAATCTGTTAGCTTTTAGAGACGGCTTTGCCCAGGGATCAGACTTGGGGTAGGGCCCAGGATAGATTAGCCGCTGTTAGCACAGTGTACTCAAACCTACTCCCTTCTTGGACCTGCATGCTTTGCCCCTTGGCGAGCTCACCATGCTGGGCTCCTGGCAGCCACTCCGACCCCTGGGGTTTCCCCACTAGCTCAGCAGATGGGACTGAATCCCAGTGCAGGCTCCAGCTACACCAATGAAGAAAGGAAGGCTCAGAGGGGAAAGGAACTTACCCAAGGTTGCGCAGCCAACAGGCGGCAGACGGCCAAACCCAGAGCAAAGTCCAAATCCCATGTTCTCTCTGATCCAAATCCCATGATCAAAGTGGCAACGTGACACGCTGTTCTGACCCTGGCGTCCCTACAGCAGGGCACACTGTGCCGGTCAGTGTTTACTGTACGTACTTTTCTCCTCCCCAGAGACTTCAGTCTCTTTCTGCTTGGTTTCTATTTGGATTTATGCTTTCAACATAAAAAGCTGGGGATTCCTTGCCATTTCACCCTCTTAGCTCCCTCCCATTAGACTCATAATTTATCTCCATGTTATTTGGCTCGTGGTTAAAAGTACCATGGTGCTTATACAGATGAGAGAACAAGCAGGTCAACCTTAGCCAGGGTTAGCAGATCTGAGAAAAACACAAACCCCTCGGCTCGGTTCCCGAAGCCCCTACAGCTTGGCCACCCTACACCAACCCTCTGCTCCAGCAGAAAGGTCCTGACCCTGAGTTCTCCTCATTCTGTCCCCAGTGTAACCTGGTGCCCAGAGGGGTGGGGCCTGTGCCCCCATGTGCTCACACTAACACAGTTGTCCCTCCCAGCCCATTCCAATGACCTGGTGTCTGCCCCCCTTCCTCACTGACACTCCAGTTCCCAGCAGGGATCCACACCCAGTCCTGGCCCCAGCCCTCTTGGCCCAGGAACTTGACTTTCTACTGTGGCCTTGCCAAAGCTCTTCTTGGGGAGCTGGATGTCTCTTTTTCCCAAGATGCTGCCAGGGGACCTGCCTCCATCTAAACAAACCTTCTCCTGACCCCCATTTCCTCCCCAAGCTTGAACTCTCTCGACTGCCCTAGACTTGGGCTGTACCAGCTCCACTCATCAGATGAGGAAACTCTTTTATGGGAGGGAGGGGATGCACACCAGCCTGGCCTCCTGAGCTGGCCACTTCCTGGGGTCAGGCGACTTGTCACTTTCTTGGGTGGGCTCCTAACGTACCAGCAGCCATGGCTCTTGGGTGCTCAGTTAATGCAGGGGTGAGGGTAGGGGGGACTGAGTCTTCAGTTGGACTTCTTAAACACCTTATTTTATACCACATACCCCCCACCTCACATTCCTGGTCCTCCCATTCTTTCTTTTTCTCCATAGCCCTTATCACCATTCTGATATCCTATGGGTCCCCCTCTCCAAGTAGAGAAGTGAGCTCCCTGAGACCTGAGGCTGCTTTGCTTGAGCACCTGGCCCATGGTGGGTGCTCAATAACTCTCTGTGGAACGGATGAGTGGAACGCCCGCGGCCTTGGCAGGCAGCACCAGAGCGCATACACCGAGGCGCTGGGAAGGCCAGGAGCTCTCATTTCTCAGCTGTCACAGAGGCCAGCCGCCTCAGGGCTGCCAAAGAGGATTTCTACACCTGCTCCATCTTAGCCGGGGCAATAAAACGTCTACCAGGGCTTCCCAGCACTGCACTGGGTGTGGAAAAGGCAAAGCCTTCCGGCAGCTTCTTAATCTGGCTGGACTCAGCCATCCACCCTGCTGAAAAAGGGATTGTCCCCTCTGTTCCTGCACCCCCTAAGCCTGTCATACCCCGACCCAGCGGCACCATCTCTTCTTCCCAGACACGAGCTGTCTTACCCACCTTTACACCCCAGTGCCCGGCACAGTGCAGAGAAGCTACGAAGCCTGTGATAGATATTTGATGAATGCCTGGATTCCACATGAAAAAGGCAGTCCCTTCTGAATTAATTATGTGACTCAAAATGGGCAGGATGAGTTTATTTCTCCTTTATTGTGATTAATGATTTTATTTTTCCAAAGAGTTTTTCAATTCTGAGGTTTAAGTGTTTTTTTTTTTTTTTTTTTTTTGTGGTACGTGGGCCTCTCACTGACGTAGCCTGTCCCGTTGCAGAGCACAGGCTCCGGACGCGCAGGCTCAGCGGCCATGGCTCACAGGCCCCACCGCTCCGCGGCATGTGGGATCTTCCCGGACCGGGGCACGAACCCTTGTCCCCTGCATCGGCAGGCGGACTCTCAACCACTGGGCCACCAGGGAAGCCCTCGAGTCTAAAATTTGATGCCGGTTTACCTTTCACAGTTTTTCACTGCTTCTTCCTTAACAAGAGGGACCATCATTGTACCAGGTGGTCTTCACCGCTGGTCATCTATGATTCAAGATGACTCCAATCTGTTACCTTAGGCGCTTAACCACCATTCCTTCTTATCCACTTAACCCCATTGCTCCTTCCTGTGCCTGTGCCGCCTAGGAAAAGAGGAGAGAGGCCCCTGTGATAAAGTAGAACTTCAAACGTAAATTGCACCACCTCGCAGAACACATTTCACCCTGATAAGAGGTCCCGATGTATCCCTGCAGCCACCAGGAGTCACAGTGAGGGTTGGGAGGGGAGGAAGGAAAGAGGGAGGGGGAAGGACGGGGCAGTAGCAGGAAAGATAAACAGAGGTCATTTCCTCCTTTACCTGTCTTGCCAGGTCACGTAACCCTGTGTGAGTGTTCCCAAGTGCTGCGCTGCGTGCGGGAAAGTACCTTCCCTCTCTTGCAGCCGACTTCTGTCTGGAAATGAGTACCCTGACTGTCTCATGAAAGCCTGTGCGCCTAGCACTTTCGACTTCTCAAAACACTGCATGAATATGTTTGAGTGACTTCCAAGTGCAGGCTTTGTGCTAAGCAATGTGCACCTTATCTCATTTAAGCACTGCGACCTTAGCAGGTAGGTCCTGTTTTTTATCTCCGCTTTGCAGACGAGGAAACTAGGGCTTAGAGAGGTTAATTGCTTCACAAGACTATCCAGCTAGCAGTGTAGTCCTGCAAATCATCAAATCAAACCCAGGTCTGTATCATTCTATGTGTAAGTCTGGGGTGGCCACGGTTACACTGCTTCTGATGTATTCGTGGTTATCTTCCATACCATACATACATTTAGGACATGATACATCCAGGTGCTAGATAAGCGCTCGGGGAAGTAGTGCCTAAACCACGCTAATAAGAGCTGGATCTGGTCCCAGCTGGCAGAATTCAGAAATGCAGCTTTAGGCGGTTCCCAATGCTTCCTTGTATCTCAGTTTCCTCATCTGTAAAATGGAGGCACGAAGCAAGTGCCCTCCAAGAAGCCTGTAGCATTCTGTGGCTCTATTCCAATAGTGCAGTGTCCCCAACACGTTGCCAGGAATCTGGACAGAGAGCGTGATCAAACGGGCAGTACTCTCTGCGGGCGCTCCCCTGCCCTACCGCTGACGCATGCGCCCTCGCCCGCCGCCCTCGCGCCGAGCCCAGAGCAACGCGGCCCCTCTACGTGCATGTGCAAGGCCTGGTGGCCCGACTGCGGGCCCTGGGTGCAGAGACGGCTCCCTGCCCCGACGCGGCGGAATCAGTGTCCTCGGTAGGGATGGGGTGATCCTGCCAGAAACGAGCCGGGCCCACGGGGGATGCGCCTGGCCCTCGTTGGGAAAGGCCACAGCCTCCCCCAAGGACCCTGGAAAGCTGTTCCCGTGCGGGAGAGTGTGTTCCAGCCTCTGCGCCCTCGCTCTGGACGTGCTGGGCAGCACAGAGAGGCCGTTCTTTCCCAACACAGATGGAAACGCTCCCCTAGCACTGCTGCCTGGGGTGTGGAGGAGGGGACGGCCCCGCAGCTCCGCTGACTCGGGAAGCCGGGGAGGACTTTCCTCTCGAAAACCATACTGCTGATTAAAATGAAAACGTCTAAGGTCACCAAGGACATTTATCCAACTAGGAGTGGGGAATGGGAGGTGTGAGACATCTCCTGATAGTAGAAGCTCCTAAAGGGCAGCTGGCACTGCAGGGAGGCCCAACCTTCATTGCTGCTTAGGGATGAATAACAGAACCTAGACAGCTATTTTTACACTGGTTGAGAGAGAGAGAGAGAGAGAGAGAGAGAGAGAGAGAGAGAGAGTTGCGGGAGGAGGTGGGAGCAACAGGGGGGAGGACCTAGGGAGACAGCAAGTGCAGCCTCTTCCTTACTCATCCTGTGAGCTTTCTTATTCCTCTTCCCAATGCGGATTCCCTCCCCGGAAGTTAAGAATTATTTATTACTTTGAAATCAGAAAAGGAAGAAGGACGCTAATCAAAAAGTGCCCTGAACGGTGAAAATAAATGAGATCTCAACATTCTGAAATTGCCGTTGTCGGTCGGTCTCCTCAGTCCTTTCTCCCCTTGTTTGCCATCTTTTGAATGTGCAGGTCTGAGGTTACGGATCTGAATTTTCTTTTCTCTACTCAGGGATCATGGAGGTTTGGGTCAGTGGGCTGAAGGAGATGAGGAAGAGGAGCCCTTCTACCAGGATGCTATTCAGGTTGTCACTGTTTACTGTATGACTTTGTCCTGAAAGCCCTGCTTCTTCAAACGGGGATTTTTAGACCATGGTAAGTTCTGGGAAGGCAGAAGGATGTCCAGAAAGGGTGGTTGCTTTCAATGTTCACCTGATACGAGGCAGCCAGAGCCTGTGCCTGTGCTTTCGTCTGTCAGAATAAATATGGTGCTGAACTCACCAGTCCAAGGAGATGTGCTATGGGAGACGGTCGCAAGCTGCGTGGGGAACCACTGCTGACATCAGCTCACTTCACACCACTCAGGCTACTTTGATTCCATTGAACTTCATTTCATTTCCTCCCCAAGCCCTGACAAATCTGGAAAAAGGAGGCACAGAAAATAATTTCAAAAGTTAAACGAGGCATGAAATGACCCCTGACATCAAAGGGAGGTTGTAGAGGTTACCATCTTAAGAGTTTGCTTAGGGGAACCTTTTAGAAGTTTTTGTCTGAGAATTATGGTGACCAAAAACAGAACAAAACAAACCCCTTACTGAGGAGGAAAGGTTACTTGGAGCTCTTTATTTCATCTGGCACTTCGAAGATGCACCAGATCACAATAAGGGTATAGGGCTGGGGATGCGTGTGTGTGGGATGAACGTGCTTCATCTGTGACTGATGTCTCCCACAAAGAGAAGAAAGTAATCTTTCCCTCTGCAAAGGGAAGTTGGAAGTCAAAGCTGTGGACAAGCATCTAACCCAGCAGTACCACAGCCTCCCAGGTTCCAGCACAGCTGGGCTCTTAGATATTCATCCACTTCTTCCAAAGGCAGGTCAAAGAAGATGGTGTTTTATTAAGGAGACAGTACGATTCAGGGGCTCTTTCATAGCAGAAACCACCCCCTGCCCCGGCCGCCAAACACCCCCATTATCTGTATTCCAGTTCCTTTTTAGCCGAGGTTGAGGGGAAATGCCCCAAAATGATCATTATTATTGTTTGCATGTATGTTTGTTTATTCTGTTTGGCTTTTAAAAACATAGCAGAACTTCTGTATCCAAATGGATAAAGACCCTGAGAGCTTTCAGATCACTAAGAAAAGTGGGAGCACAGCCAGCCATATCCATCCCAGCGGACGATCCTATGCTAGTCCCCTCTCTTCTATCCCCAACAGGTTTAACTTAAGGTGGTGCCACGCAGTATATTCAAGTGTGGGCAAGTTGATCCATCCCTCCAGTCACCTTTACCGGACTGTCACTGTGTCCCTAGCAAGTTAACCCAGGTCTGAAGATCAGAAAACCAGGCTCCTGAAGAGATTAGGTCTCACAAGAGATTAGTATTAATAATCTGCCTTTGCATATATCCTATCAGCTATCACATTTATTTTTAAGAAATCTAAACTATTCGAGTTCAAAATTCAGTGTCTTTTTCCTGAGATATGGTACAGGAGAAAGGGTTCCGGGAGTGGCAACTTAGTTTGTATCTAATTTCAGCAAAATAATTGCAGACTGCTTCCAGCCTGAATAAGCAGTGAGGTATAGCTCCCAGTATTTACTTATTTTAGAAGCACTCCCTCAGGATGAATGCTAGCTATTTTCAGTTGCATGTGGGAAAACCAAGGGCACTGCCAAGCTGTGGTAAGTTGGCATCGTGTTATGAGCTGTCAACCTCGATACTTAGTTCCACTCAGATTCATTTCTGATTTTCAGTTGGCGTGTAACCTTTTTCTTTATTCACTTTGGGGTCCTGATCACTTCCTCTGTCTGCCTCCCTACCTTCCCATCTATCTCTATCCTCACAGGCAGCTTTGGCTGAATCCCTCTAATAATAACAGCATGAGTGCCAAGTGGGTTGTATAAAATGCTTAGGGAGAGATGTGAAATGAAGCACATTGTTCTTCAGGGCTCCTGGGGACCAGAGTGTACCCACTGACAAAAACAAACTAATATGCAGTGAAATTATACGTCTTTCCCTATCATTTATGCAGAATGCGATAATGCTGGGATCGCGCCTGAAATAGCTATGGTACCTACGGCAGGCAGCCTCTAAAACGGCCCAAGGATCCATCACCTACTAGTCCTCTCACATGGGCTGGACCTAGTGACCCATATGGGCTGGACCTAGTGACCCTTTAGAAGATGACAAAAGTGATGGGATGTCACTCCTGAGATTAGATAACAGGAGACGTCTTTTTGTACATCTCTCTCTCTCTCTCCCTCTCTATCTCTCTATCTCTGTCTGTCTCTCTGCCATAACTGCCATGTCGTGAGCTTCCCTATGGATAGGCCCATGTGGTAAGGAACCGATGTCTCCAGCCAGGAGCCAGTGAGGACCTGAGGCCGGCCAACAGCCATGTGAGCGAGCCTGGAGGGGGAGCCTCCCTCAGTGGACCCTTGAGATGACCGTAGCCCTGGCTGACACCTTGACTGCAGCCTGTGAGACCCGGAGCCAGAGGACCACTAAACTACGTCTGAACTGCTGACCCACAGAAACTGTGAGATAATACATGATTGTTGTTTTAAGCCCCTAAGTTTTGGAGTGACTTGTTATACAACAGAAATACTAATATTAATACTAATATTCCCTTAAGCAGGTAGTTAGGAGCTTCCAGTGACCTCACCAGAGGTCTGTCTCCAGCCTCACCTCCTGCTATAGCCCCCGCCATCACCTCTGGGCCCACTTTTTGGCTACATCTTACTCCTAGGTATTTTTGTGTCTTTATATGAGCTGTTTCTTCTGCCTGAAATAAGCAGTCTCCTTGTCTCCATATAAATTCCTGCTCACCCCTTGACACCTTGCTCAGATGTGTCTTCTGGAAAACCTTCCTAACCTTCCTAACGCCGCCAGACAGAGCTCCTGTCCCCTGCCCTGGGCTTCGCCTCTGCCTGTACTTTATCACTCACGCTGTGCTGTCCTGATTGGCAGACGGGCTAGATCGCGACTCCTGGAAGGCAGGACACTTTTATTCATCTTCCAGTCCCTTCCAGTCCCTGTTAGCACAGCGCAGTGATAAAACGCCATTTCTGGAACAGATCAATGGCTGTTTTGCAGAAGCAAGGATCCTAGGTAGCTAGTTCCACCCCCAGCTGTTGCAGAAATTTTACATAGCATCCTCTAAATGTGTGGTGGAAGAATACTTCGATTAATTGGACAATACATGAATTTTAAGCACTCAACTCAATCAGCAGATCCAACACTGTAGCAGCCTGCAGTGTTGTAAGGCTCTCTTGGTCTGCTATCAACTCCTCAGCCCTTCAGTTAAGGTCACGGGAGTTGACAGTCCTGTAATCTGAGTTGTCATTTCAACCCATGACCTTTGATATGTTCCAGGCATCACAGACCTTCCTTCCCTTCATTTCTAGAGGAAGCTAGAAAGAAACCATGAAGGAAGGCATCCTTAGGGGTAAACCTGGAAGAGGGGGAAGTTGTACTTGTATCTCAGTTGTATTTGTATAGCAATCTAGCCCATGAAGAGAGGGCTCATTGCAGGGGAGGTTGTTGGAAGATGGTATAGGTGTGGAATACATTGTAAGCCTATCTACTCTGTCACCACGTCCTGACAGTTGTGCCTCCTATATAGAATCTTCCCCCTTTCTCTCCTCTGTGGCTCTTCTCCTAGTCTTGAATTCACCTATAACAGCTTCCTAACTGGTCTCATGACATCCACTTATGACCCTTTCCAAGCTCTTCTTTCCAAACTCTTGTGGCCAGAGCAATCTTTCTAAAATGCACATTTGATCACATCGCCTGTCCACTTAAACACTTCAGTGGCTCCCTGTGAATGGCCTGGCTCGAATCCAGCCCTATCATGCATGCTGCCCACCTCCCTGTTTGTGCTGTGGTCACACTCGAGTCTTTCACGACCTTGAAGACACAAGCGCCATGCCACACGGAGATGCACGGACCCGCCTGCCCTAGTTAATCCTATTCCTTCAGATTTCATTTCACTCATCAATTCCCCAGAGATTTCCCTGATATCCCTTATTAAATCAAACCCCTTATTACGTACTTGGGGCACCACACATTGCAGTGTCATGTTAATTTGTGTGGTTATTTGATCAAGGTCGTCTCCTTTTCCATTGTGTAAGTTCCATGAGGGCAGGGATCATGTCTGTTTTTGCTGACGTTGTATTCTTGGTACCTAGTATGACCCGGCAAAGAGTGGGCATTCAATCCATATTTGTTGACTTGAAGTGAGTGAATTATGGGTGCTGTTAAGGGTACATGGAGGAAAAGCAGGAATGCGGGAAGAATAAGGACTTCATGGAACCCAGACCTGGGGCACAGGATGATAATTTGAATGCACGCCGTCCTAAAATAGGATGTTGGAGTTTCTTTAGACTAATTGCAAAAGTTGCAGAGTGCACAACATTTATAGCTATGTGTAACTTCCCTTCCCCCAGGCCACAGCCGCCTCAGGGAAAACCAAGCATTTCGGGTCAATTCCCAGAGGTCTCTGGCTCTGCCTTCTGAACACCTCGCAGGCGCCATCCGCTGCTGATCCGCAGCTCCACCCTTCTCCGCTGGGGGCGAAATGACCGCCTTGCTCTGGTGCAAGCACCTCTCCGCTGGTGCTTCTGCGCCCTCTTACCAGCGCCCCACACCCCCCGCCCCGACCCCGGCGGAGAATCGTCCCCCCACCCGCTCCTCTCCCGTAGGCGATTCCCATCCTTCCTCGGCCGTCACATCTCTCAGTAGTTTCGTAGCACACAAGTCATTTCCTCTTCTTTGTTCATGAATCTTAAATGCAAGCGTCTAGGGCCTGCCAGTTGGTTTCATTTCCCAGTCCGTGTTTCTTCCAGGGCTTGACAGGGCTGGAGGTGGCAACCATTCATCCCACAAACATTTACTTCATCAGAGAGAGAGAGAGAGAGAGAGAAAGAGAGAGAGAAGGAGCAAATGCGGCCCAGGCCCCAGGAACTTGTCATCTTCCGGGGGTCTTTACAGGTACCTTCACCTCTGGATGAGGTATTCCGCTGTCAGATCGTGCCTGAGAATCCATCCTCGTGACACTAATTTTTGCCAGGAGCCAGGAGTTCAGAAGAATGTTAATCTGTTTTTCTTCCAGCTTTCCTTACACAGCTGACAATATTATTACTCTCAGCTTTTACAGTGCAGGTCGATACACAGATCACAGGGTCCAAGAGGGCTCCTGAGTCATTTGAGAGAGTTACCTTTTTTTCTTTTCTAGGTCTTCCATCTCTGTGAATCAGCGATGTGGGAAACCCGGGCCTCAGAAAAATTCAGGGAGGCTTGAAGTGAGCAAGCCAGAGGAGAGTGTTGGCAGGAGCTGAGGGCTGCCACGGTGGGAAAATCGAGCCCCATCTGAGGGGCTCCGGGTGATGTCTGCCTCCTGTCAGCACCATCGGATCTCTGTGAC